CCCCAAAACCCCAAAACCCCAAAACCCCTCCTTTCATGCTATATTGAATTACCCTGGTCTTGGATTTATCCACAATTTTGAGCTGTCAGTTAGAACGAATTCAGACAATACTCGAAGAGAATAGAGGCTAAGGGTGTTTAAAGATAGGTCTTAGAGAGGAGATACTTTTGGCACATTACAGAATTAGGGCTTTTAGGTTATAGTATTTGAAGCGTGATGGTTTAAAGAATTTTGACTAAAGTTTCAGTTAAATTGTAAATTTTTTAACTCATATATTGTTAAAGATTTTATGCTAACTTCTGTTTCTCCTGTCTTAACTGTGCTGCTAAATTTCTTCCATATCTCAATAGCTCCTCTTCCTCAGTCTGTTCAGGAGTAAGCAGAGGTACCTCTACAGCTTCAGACTCTTCAATATTCTGCTTCTTAATCGGTAATTTCTTCTTAATCCTTGGCAAATATTTGTTTGCTTGGAGTTTGATGGAGTCTAAATTATAAAATACAAATCACTATGAGCAATCTTCATACCTGAGGCCTCGAACCTACCTGCCTTCACCAGTTGGTTCTTATTTTGGATCAAGAAGTCTACAATTTCTTCGTAAGGATTCTCATCGTTCTGGAAAGTCTTAGCTAAAGCACTATATTTCCGAAAAAGTGTGTAAAATGCAGTAGTCCGTTTATCAAGAGATTTTTGAGACTCGAAAAAGTCTGTGACTAATAACTGCTTCCTGATCGTCATTATCTCTAGATATTAATGATGGTAGAACCTACCTTTTGAGGATTTCTTGATTAAGTCGAAAGAGTCATTCATTAGTTCTGGCACTACTGGACTTTCAATGATGGATTTTTGGGCTGTTTGCAAACCTCATGTCGATATTTTCCCTCTTATCGGAGACACCTTGGCAGGAGTTTTGAAAGCTTTAGACCCGTGCCTACCACCACTATTAGATTTTCCTTGAACATTCGACCATCACTCATTCTCAGATCTATTCCTTCTAAGAGTAACATCATCTTCTGAAATGTCTTTGCTATAGTTCATTTGGACTATAGCACTCTGGTTGGCTAGCCTTAACCGTTCTCTCTCTTCTCTCTGGCGCCGACTGAGATACTAGAAACGGCTCAGGATTAATTATGTGAAAAATTACCTTTATCTGTGGAGTTCATGTTACAGGTGGCTTTACAGATGACTTCCTACCTTTTGGTAGCAGAATTGGCTTAGATATCCTACGTTGCTGCGACTTTGAATTCACATTTCTATTCACTGTCGGGAGAACCTCACCGCTGCTTAGATTGTTACTCTGGACTGAAACTTGTTGTTTAGATTCAGCTCTGAATGCTACAGAAGAAGCTCTATTCAGTTTAGGCTTCTCAGACTTTTCTCTCTTTGTGTCCATGGTCTTTAGGCCATATTTCATCGATGGGGAATCAATAGCATCTTTATTCAGTAGTTCAGCGATATCTTTATTATACCTGCTAAGTTTCAAAGAGTGCTCTTTCTTAGTAGTATGATTCCTATTCCTTTGAAACTTCTTTTTCTGTAAGGAACTTGGAAAATTATAGCTTTCCCCTTCAAATTGACTGATCTTAGAGAAACTCAGCATAATTTCATGTGCAGCTTTGGGCTTAGTTGCTCTAGAATTGGAAGAATTAGCCTTAAAATTCTTGAGAAACCTAGTAAATTTTACACAAAAGAATACTTTATTCTGGAGTAACTCATTGGCTTTATCTCAACTTTCGAAATTCCGTCTCTAGCTAGGGCACTTCTTGAGCTACCATCCTGAAATTTAACCAATGAACCTCCAATCTCAATCTTCTTTAAGGGATGGCTGACCTTCATCCTTGGACTTTTCTTCTGAGATTTCTTCTTTTCATTTATAACTTTTTAAATTCTGTTAAGACATTAATCAACCCGACTTTCTCTTTTGGCTCCTGTGATGCGTCAAATTGGGATTTACCTGACTCATCGTCTATTTCAGTTTAACTTCAAAGGATTGTTGATAAATTGGGTACAGAAACTAGCTGGAAAGTATTGGAAATATTATAATTACAGCAAAGTTCATACCTGATATGTATCATAATTAAGATCCTGATTAAGCCTATAACTGCTTTTTGAGGTACATGTTGGCTCTTTATTTGCTCAAATTTTGATCATATGGTGTTCTCTATAAGTTTGACCTAATGAAATTACCTTTAAATAATCAGATCCATATTCATAATCATTCTGAAAACTAGACTCGGCTTCATATTCCTTCTCAAATCGACTCCTACCTTGCGTCCTTGATTGATCATTACCTTATATGCCTTATCAAAACTCTCATCCCCAAATGCCCCCTACAACCCCCTCATTCCCCTATTCCATCCTTATCCATCCCTCCCTATCAACCCAAACACCCCATCTATCCTCTTCCTAACCTCCAATTTCCCAAAATCCCACTCAAAATCCCCTAATCAGCCCTTTAACCCCTTAATTTAAGCTAATATCTTAAATAACTTACTGGCGTGTGCCTCCACTTGGTAATAATAGTACGGGTCTTTAGCAGTAGGAGAGTCCATTTTTAACAATTTTATTAGTTTTAAAGGGGTTTTGGGGTTTTGGGGTTTTGGGGTTTTGGGG